ACTTTGTTCACATATTTGATCGGGTGAATACGTTTAGGACGAACTAGCGAACCCTAATCTTGGCATGTCTTTATCAAACTTAGACCGAAATTTATTCTGTTTTCTTTCTTGCAAACTTTAGTTACGAAAATTGAAACCATTCTAAAAATCCCTTTTCTTAAGACATTAAAATGTTGATTGGCAAGCATTTATATTCTCTTCAATCCCTGTGGAGACGATAAAACACTACCCTAAAATACCATCTAACTAGCCATATAATTTAAAATTCCTTAATCAAGATGTTGCAGCGCAAAAAAATACCACGAGCGCTCGCACGCTAGAAATGATAACTTTGTCTCCACCAAGCTTTATTTCAGCACATGCTTTCATTTGATTACTCACCACCACCAATCTTGTGAGGAATTTAGTCACTAACTCTTGTTCATTAAATATGGGCATTTTGTGTTGGCTTTAAAGTGCTTACACTACTACAAAAAATATGTGTAACCTTAAACGCCAAATTGATTTAATCTCAGTTATAGAGGCGAGGTAATGAAGGGAGCCATGAAAAAATATCATTTTTTCCATCGACTTTAGAATAATCGGGGGATAGTTGAAATGGTCATTAGTTCAATCCCCAGCAATAGTTTTTTTTATATTTTCAAAACTAGCATCGTATACCTCTCGATTTATTAACAAAACTGAGGAAAAAGATATATATATATATATATATATATATATATATATATATATATATATATATATATATATATATATATATATATATATATATATATATATATATATATATATATATATATATAATATTTCATTACATTGTTTACACGGAAAATTACATGTGTTCTTCATCGTCATCGCTGTCGGTGGAGAACAAATGTTGGATATATTGGAAAAGAACAAATGTTGAAAATTCTCGTTTTATTGATTTTGTAGAAGATCAAATATCTGATATAAAAAAAAAGGTTAGATAAAAAAAAGTAATATTTAGTTATATGATAATTTAAGAGCACAAACCTTTAACCCAAATAATTTTTTGCTATTGCAATCCATCTTAGAGAAATTTTCCCAAATAAAATTAACGTATTTTAAGTTTCAATGTTTTCATGTCAAATGTTCCATTATCAAATGTTAATATTCAAAATATTTTTGTAATGAGGATTTAGGTTTCACGCATATCACTAATGGTAGTGTGTTGAGCGTTGATACTCATTGAATGGACGACAAAGATTTGTTTTAGGAAGGTTAAGAAACTGAATAAACACGCTTATATTTTACCTCGGTTATTACTTAAAACTGAGGTAAAATGTGTTTCTTTTTAGATAAAAATACAATAAAATATGTTTCATCCCAAGTGTCACATACCTCTCGATTTCTATTTTAAAAACAAGGGGAATTTTTTTTAATTACATTGCTTACACAAAATGTTAAAATAAATTGTTTAAACAAATTCAGATTTTGACAATGAATTGTTGGAGAACAACAAATCTTTTCAAATTTCAGATAAGTTATCTATTTCAACCAAGAGCGATTTTTTCTGTACTTGCAATACATCCCAGAGAGATTTCATTATCTTAGGCAAATGTTTTTGTTGCAAATGTTTTCACATGAAGGAGAACAAGATGATTGCGTTTAGGAATAATTTTTTCAATGTTGTCAACCGAGGAAAGCAATAAATTTCTCAATGTTTTCTTTGATTAACAACATAGGAAGATTATTTCAAAAATACAACAACGACATCAACACCATTATGTTGGGATGGATTGCAAGATCAGAAAAAATATTTTGTTCAAGATAGAAGAAAATTGAAGGTATTTTCTGTCTTACAATTCATCCCAAAGAATGATGTGTACAATTTTAGAGCAGATACATATAAATTAAGTTTAGGGTAAAATATAATTAACGAGAGATTTTATAATAAAATATGATAATTTAATCCCTCAATTATTAAATATAATCGAAGAAATATATCATTAATTTAAAAAAATAAAAATAAATACACCACTTTTAAAAAAATAATAACATAAATTATTGTTGTTGAGATTTGAAACATGTTCTAAATTATTTTTTCCCTCAATATAACAAACCGGAAAAATATATGGTATTTAATATAAAAAATGAAACATAGCACATCTTGACTTTTTACCTTGATTTTTGATTGAGTGAGATGAAAATTTTATTATAAAATATATTATTTGTAGTGGTGTAAAAACATGACCTTTTTAAACTTATCATCATCGCCATAAGCTCTCTTGAATGTATCTTACACACCTTTGTTCTTTCCTTTTCAATTATTTCTCAAAGATATTTAGATCTATGCATTGATGAACCATATGAACAACCTCTTTTCTACTTTACTCGTGATGCATTGTTCTTTACACCTCTTTTACGTTGTTCTCTAATGTTGCAAGCCCATTTATTCATAATTTCAAAAACATTTTGAAATATGAAGATCAAAGCAAGAGAGAATGAATTTATTGTCAAAAATGGAATCGAATTCAGTATAAGATCAACCTGATTATATACAAGAAAGGTCTCAACAAACACTATACACACATGACTTGTGCAACACATTACTTAATTAACTCTAACCATCTTTTAATCAAACAACTAACTACAAATCAACTTTTAACAAACAGTTGATTAAATACTTTTAAACTAGGACTACAACTTAATAGATCTTACATTTAATCAACTTTAGTTCACTTGATTTTTATTTGAACGATATTGGTTCAACTAATCTTAATTTAAATGATATTGAGTTAGCAAAACTGAATGTAGTTGATTTTAATTTAGTTCATTTTAGTTAAAAGTTTAACACTTATTCCTTTTTGAGTCACTAATAATCTTTAAAATTATTTATATGACTTTTTAACCATCAGTTCATCTCTAGCCCGCTTATTAGTTAACTTTCACAATTCACTATTTTTTTTTAATTGCCAACTTTTTTTATTCTTAACTATTCTCTATGTTTATTTCCAAGGGAGAGTTAATAATATTTATTAAAGTTATAATAAAATAAATATGAAATATTAATTATTAAGTTTATATACCTTAAAGATAATTCCACCCAATTTTTTATGAAGAGTAATTAAGAATTTTTCTTTTTTAGCGAGATCTCTAGTGGAAAAAGTAGTTTAAATTCGTCCCGGCATGTTGTATATGCGCCACTACGCCGCGGTTTCTGATTTGAAGGTTGGAATCTAGAAAGTCAAATCATTGCATGTGTTGTTTCCAAATGGAACCCCTTGCATGTGCTTTGTTCACTGCATGGATTTTTTGACCTAGGTGACCTACTTTGAAAACAATAATACCAAACTACCCTAGTTTGAAACGTATTTACGTGAGTGCCCCACTTTTGCATGAGTTCGTCCAAGAGAAGGACGAACCAGTGAATAGGTTGAAGGTGTTCGTCCATTGAATTGGCGAACTTGTAGGAGAAATTTTAGGAGTGTGAGTTCGCCCATTGAAAGGGCGAACTTGTGAGGGGTTTGTTTTTTTTTTTGTTTTTTAATTTTTTCAGATTTTTAAATAAATATATTTAATATTTTTAATTTCATTAATATTAAAAATATTTAATACTTCAAATATATATCATTAATGATGGAAAAAATTATTTAACTTGAAACATAAAAATTTTGTATAAAAATTAATAAAGTAGAATTTTTAGAAGATGTTCAATTAATTAAATACGTTTAATATTAGAAGATGTTCAATTAATTAAATACGTTTATTATTAAATTAATTCAACATATTTTATAGTGTTATATTAAATAGTTATATTTAAAAATTTATTAAATATATTTTATATCAATTTAATTAAATAGATTTTATAAGTTTTATATTAAATAGTTTTTACATGTTAAAGAGTAGATTAATTTAATCAAAAATAAAATACTCCTAATTTATTAAAAATTCTACTTTATTAATTTTTATACAAAATTTTTATGTTTCAAGTTAAATAATTTTTTCCATCATTAATGATATATATTTGAAGTATTAAATATTTTTAATATTAATGAAATTAAAAATATTAAATATATTTATTTAAAAATCTGAAAAAATTAAAAAACAAAAAAAAAACAAACCCCTCACAAGTTCGCCCTTTCAATGGGCGAACTCACACTCCTAAAATTTCTCCTACAAGTTCGCCAATTCAATGGACGAACACCTTCAACCTATTCACTGGTTCGTCCTTCTCTTGGACGAACTCATGCAAAAGTGGGGCACTCACGTAAATACGTTTCAAACTAGGGTAGTTTGGTATTATTATTTTCAAAGTAGGGCACCTAGGTCAAAAAATCCACTGCATGTGTTGTTTCCAAATGGAACCCCCTGCTGCATGTGCTTTGTTTCAAAATTCACCTATCCGCGACCATATTTTGGTGTAGTTTATTTTGTTGTTCAGCTCTAACTAACGTGACATGCGCAAACGTGTAGACTCATCAACTGAGACTTGTATCATGGCGTAGAAGGTGGGTGTGGACCCATTAGAAAGGAGAAAAGTGAAGGAAAAAGATCATGACAGCCATTAATAAAAGAAAAAGTAAACAAAAGAATCGTTAGTTTTAGATCAGAAATTCTCCAGTTGGCCAATTGATGTTGATTTACGCGGTTTTGGTAATAATGAATTGGAATCATTGCAACTTACAAATGCTTGGTCGAAAAGAAACGGGACAAACATCATTATATACTCACTAAACAAGACAACAAAATACAGCAAATATTCTTCTGATAATTAAAGGATGTTATATACATCATAGAATTAACATTTCTATATTTTCTATCTAAGAATCCCAAACACTAATACCAACTCGCTAGCTTTAAAAAATCAATAAACCATATCAGACTTATACATTAGGAGAGATTGCAAGAACACCAAAAAATTGACATTTAAAAAATAAATTAATTAAATTCGTGATACAATTCCGCAATGCTGCTAGATCAGAACAGCTTAACTTTCTCAATCCCAACTGAGAAGCAATTAGAGGTTGTCATTTTAGTTATCGGCAATCCATTGAGTCAAAGGAATCGGCGAATCCGGAAGGTTTTGCAGGAATACTTGATTGGGTTTGTGAGAAAGATGTGTCATTAAACACTTGGGAAGTGCCTTCATTGGCTTGCCATCTTTGCAGAGCTTGAGGAAGGCTCATGTGAAGGTCAATACCATAACCATCTTCTTCTTCGTGACTGGTGGGCTTCCATTGCTCAACCAGAGGAACCAGGACATTCACTGCATGTCCCATATCAGGCCTCTGGTATGGTTCGCGAGCAGTGCAATGGCCTGCTAGCTCAGCCACTTTATATATGCTCTCCATGGTTTCTTCGTCAGGGTTCAATGTTTGATCGATTGCTTTAGGGATGTTCTCCTTGTTGACTTGTACCCGGCGGAACCATGAAACCAAATGGGATCGTTCGTCAGGCATAGTATCATCCAATGCCCTTCTACCAGTAATCAATTCCATCAGAACTACTCCAAATGCATAAACATCTACTTTGGTTGTCACTCTTCCAGTGGCTGCAAAGGAACATGATTACAATTATTACAAGTCCGGAATTAGGGCAGCAGAAAGCAAATGCAACCAATCATTCACAACTGATTAAACAATAATTTTGTTCCAGCTAAATCTATGTGCAATTGCAACCCAAACCCATGACAAAACAGTAAATATAAGGTCCTACTAACAAGTGCAAGAAGGAAGCTGGTTAAAGAGCAATCAATAAACCCTATTAAATGCTTCTAGTTAATTAAGAAAACACGTACTATTAATAAATTGTAAGTAATAAAAATATCTACTTATTATCTTCGTAAGATATAAATCATATCTAATTTTTCCCTTCCTGTTTCCTTTATGAAGTTTTATATAGTACGTGTTAGAAGGATAAAGGAAAACTCATAGATTAACCCAATATTTGATGTTAGCGAGATGGTTGACATCCACTTGTAACAATCTATCTATCTTTAAATGGAAAAACATATTATGAACCCTGAAACTATCCATCAAGGAGATGTATATGAGAAAACAAAATTTAAATGGAAAAAAAACTAATGAAAAGGGACAGACATAATATGCAAATTATTAACCACGAAGGAAAAAACATCAAAGCAAGTAGTTTAGAAATGCGTATATTAGGAATTAAACATCATAAAAAATTTCCCTTCAAAATATTATTGGCTTTCTGAAAGCTTCTCTTTTAAACAAAGCATGGCATTAAGTGCAGTAACTACGAGATAGCTAGTGATCAAAACGGAAATAAGTAAGAGTTTTTCTTAAAACTTAAGACAAGCTTAATTAAAGGCTTTCAATACCTGCATATTCAGGTGCCAAATATCCAAATGTTCCTGCCAGCCTAGTCTCAACGGAATATTTCCCATCCGGTGCATTTTTAACCAACCCAAAATCTGCAACCTTTGCTCTCATGTCATCACCCAATAGTATGTTGGAGGGTTTTAAGTCCCTGTGAATGAAGCTTTGCTGAGCTAAGCTGTGCAAGTATTCAACTCCCCGTGCTACATCCAAAGCTATTGCAACCCTTTGTTTCCAAGTCAAAGGAGCACATCCGTTTTCACCCCAATCAAATAGATGTTGTGTTAATGTTCCTTGAGGCATATACTCATACACCAAAAGCCTTTCATTTCCATTAATGCAGAATCCTAAAAGAGCAACCAAATGCCTGTGCCTAACTTTAGTTAGAACTGCAATCTCTGCTTGGAACTCATTCAATCCCTTAGTTCCCACTGCAACAGATTCCATCCTCTTCACAGCAATCTTAGTTCCATCATGCAATTCCCCTTTATAAACAACTCCAAATCCTCCCCTACCCAAAATGTTATCTTGACTGAAATTACCAGTTACTTGCCTAAGAACTTGGATTGAAATAGTAACATTTCCACCCTCAAAAACCTGAAGGTTGTCACTACGCTCACTTCCTTGACTCTGTAACTCACTCGGAACTCCACCATATCCATTAGAATTGGAAACACTCATGACATCAAGTTTAATCTCACCTTTTCCATTTTCAGGATTATTAACCCTTCCAAATTCCCCATGCCTCCGATTCTTAGTAAAGCACTTACAAAACACAAACAACACCACTGCAACAAAAAACACAGCAATAACAGCTATACCTGCAATCCAAGCAGGTGACAGCGAAGAACCACTTAACTTTTTCGATGGACTTCCACTCGGTGCACCACCAGAACTCTCCGGCGGAGTAGTTCCCCTTCCTTTATCACCTCCAGAAGGCCCGAGCAAAACATTACCAGCAGAATTGAACTTCACTTTAGTAGAAAATTTAGGAATCTCTCCAAATAGATTGTTGTTAGACACATCCAAAACTTCAAGTTGAGTCAAACCCGTCAAGCTCCCCGGTATGGAACCAGACAAGTTGTTACCACTCAGATACAAATTCCGCAAATCAGTTAAATTCCCAAATGCAGGTGAAATGGTTCCATTCAAATTCTGCTTAGCTAAGTTCACGGTAATAATCTTCCCTCCTGAACAAACAACAAAGCTCCAATCTTGACAAGGATTGTTCCCTTTCCAGGAACTAGCCAACTGAAGAGGATACCCAAAACCAGCAGCAACATCAAGCAAAGTAGTAACCCTCGGATCACAAGGTCCGGGAGTGGTTTTACAAAAGCTATTGATCCCATCATTAGGAGTAACCTTTACACTTTTCCCAAAAGAAGGAAAAGGGCCCTGCAAATTATTATTATCCAATGAAACGTTCGTCAAACTAGATAAACTCATCAAAGAATGAGGAACAACACCTGTTAACTGATTATCGCGAAGCTGAAGATCAAACAAATTAGTACAGTTTGATAAATCAGGAATGGGACCAGTGAACTTGTTCTTCTGAAACCACACTTGAGTCAAGTGAGACATCGTCGAAAGCAAATTGAGAGAACCGGTGAACCCAAACCCATCTTGCTGATTGTTGAGCCACAAGTTCTGAATCCCAGATCCTGAAAACGAGTTAGGTAAATCTCCGGTGAGGTTGTTGTAAGCGAGACGAAGGTTCTGCAAACTGAACAATGGACCGAATATATCCGGCAAGGAACCAACGAGGTTCGTTTGACCAAGGTCGAGTTCAACGAGATTCAAAGACTGTGTCAACTCAGACGGAAATGTCCAAGGCTTGAGGTTAGTGTTTCCAGTCATGGAAAGTTTCTGAAGACTGGTGAGACCCTGAAAACAACCATCGGGGATTGAAGTGAAGTTGTTACTACTGAGGAAAACCGATTGAAGATTAGAAAGGTTAGCGAGTGAAGGTAACGCGCCGGTGAGCGAGTTGGACTGGAAAGAGATGGACGTGAGTTCAGAGAGTGAGTTCAGATCGGAAGGTATTGTTCCGCTGAGTGACTTGGAAGATAAGTTGATCGATGAAACGCGGTTAGAATCGTCGCATTTCACGCCGGTCCAGCTGCAGAATGTGGTCGCCGTCCACCCTGAGGGAGTTGGTGAAAGTGATTTCGCGAGCTTTGACATGAAAACGCCGTCATCGGCAATGGCGGTGTGAAGGAGGAGAGAGAAAGAGAGGAAGAGTTTAGAGAGAGAAATTAGGGTTTTGAGTTTTGATTTTGAGTGAGCCATTGTGAGAATGGAAGAACATGAGAGAGTATGGTGTTAGAGTTGTGAGAGTATTTAGATGAAGAAAGATAACTACGCTAACCCCATGTGAAGTTGTTGTTTTCTTTTCTTTCTCTTCTTTTTTATTTTAAATCTAATCCATCTAAAGTAAATTTATGATGACAATAATGTTGGAGGGGTTCTATAAATAAAGAAATTACTAACGTGTTTGTACATCATTAAATTCATTTGAAAATTAACTAATGTTTTTTTCTTTGTCAACAAATTAACTTATGTTAGTATTTTCACGCAAAGTAACAAATGTCAAATTTAAATTAAATGATTAATCCTCTCTCCCGCTTATATTAGGTTTCCTCTTCTCAATATTTTTTTCTTCAAATTATTTGTTATTTGAAAATACTAATCAATTATTTATTTATACTTTTTACTATTATATTCTTACTATTGTGTTTTAATTTAATTAATTATTTAACTAATTACAATTAATTAAATTATTTTAATAAATAAGATTTGTTTTATTAATATAACTAATATAATTAATTATTATTTTAAAATGTGAAATATTCAAAAGTGACACCTATTATAGAGAGGAGGGAGTATAAATTAGGTAATATGGTTAATTATTTTCAATTAATAAATAATATAGTGTTAAAATTTAGGGTCAGGCTAACTAGTGTTTTAGGGAAACTCTTTAAACCTTCCAAATAAAAAAAGTATTACATTAAATACAAGTTTTTTATTAAAAAATATATTTTTTTTATTATTTAAAAAAATCAATTGTTTTAATTTCTAATGCATTTAATATAAGTATTTTTTAAACAAAATATGTTTTTATTTTAACTCTTAATAAGTGTCTTCGGAGCACCCGTTAGCATTTCCTTAAAATTTATTTAAAATTTATTAGTCCTCTATTCTATATAATTAATTAGTATAATTTTAAATATTATTAACCTTTTTAAGTGTTCAAATATAAAATTCTTTTGAGTAGATTATAAAAATAAAAGTAAAACTGATTGTAATATTAAATTTGTTTATGATTGATATTGTTTTTACTAATTTATCTTTTAAAAAAAATTATTAAAATATTTAGTATGAAATTAAAAAAATGTAATATAATTAAAAGGATATTGTTAATATGTAATATAATTGAAAATTTGAAAAAAGTTATTATAAAAAAGATTTTAAAATAAAGTTATGAGAGTTCTATATTTTAGAACTAATTTCACTTTTCTTGTTTATATTTTAATATAGAGTCATATATTTTAGAACTATGATTAATCATATTAGATGGCAAAGTGGTTTTAAATTTTTAGAGACATTGCGTTGGTTAATTATAATTCAATTATAACAAAATAAATAAGATTTATATTTATTATGTTTTAACTCCGGGATATCCATTATGAGATTTTATTTATTCATAATTTTATCTTTAAAAAAATTAGATTTATTTTGCATACTCTCAAATACAGGTTTATTGATGAATAACCATAAAACAAATTATAAAATACTTCTAGCAAATAAATCTCAATAAATTCAACACCGTAAAATAAGTCATTTAATTTAGCACCATAAAATATGTCTTAATATTGATTTAATTTAACACCAAAAATGTCTTAATATTGTTGGTGTAAAGGTAGAATAAATGATGAATAGAGAAATATTTTATTAAGAGAATGACGGCTACACACTACTACTAAATTTTAATGATTGATACCCTATTTATAAGCTAATACTAGGGTTACTAGAATAAGATAAAAATACTCTCTAACAAATTTAGGGGTTAAGAAAATAGTACAACTAATAAAATATGAATTACTTCGAATACCATCCCTTAATTCATATTCCATCAAAACTTGTAACACCAATTTCATCCCTTAATCTGAGAAATTGATTCGTCTTGATAGCTTTCGTCAGAACATCTGCCAACTGTTTCTGAGTGCTGCAGTGTACAACTTCTAACACTCACTATGAACTTGATGTCTCAGAAAATTATACTTTGTCTCAATATGCTTGCTTCTCCCATGCAACACTGGGTTTCTGCCAAGATTGATTGCAGACTTGTTGTCAATCATCAACTTTAGAGGTTTGTTTATTTTAATCTTCAGATCCTGCAACAGATTCAGAATCCACACAGCTTGGCATGCAGTAACAACACCTACAATGTATTCAGTTTCACAGGTTGATAACGCCACAACAGGTTGCTTCTTGGAACACCAAGAAATTGGACCTCCCAGAAATTTGAACAAGTACCCAGAGATACTTCTTCTGTCAACTCTGTCTCCACACCAATCAGAATCTGAATAACTCAGAAGTTCTGACTCATCCTTTCTTCCAGAAGGAAACAACACTCCATACTTCAGAGTTCCCTTGATATACCTCAGAATCCTGACAGCAGCTTGATAATGGAACCACTTAGGTTTACTCATGAACATACTAACCATCCCAACAGAATAGCAAATATCATGTCTGGTATTGCACAGATACCTCAGAGAACCAACCAACTGTTTGAAGGTTGTAGTGTCCACATCCTTTTCATCAGAGTCAGAATCTAGTTTCTGATTTGTATCAGAAGGTGTGACAGCAATCTTACAATTCTTCGGTTCAAATCTCTTCAGAAGTTCTAATTCATACTTGAGCTGATGCAAAATGATACCTTTCTCAGAATATCTGAACTCCATCCCTAGAAAGTATGTCATTTTGCCTAGATCAGTCATTTCAAATTCATTCATCATAACTTTCTTGAACTTGGCTATCTCCTGTTCAGAACTTCCAGTCAGCAGTATGTCATCAACATATAAACATACCAGAGTCATATTGCCTTCAGAAGTATGCTGAACATAAACACCATACTCCATCTCACATTTCTGAAAGCCTTGCTTCTTGAAAAATGAATTAATCTTCTGATTCCAAGCTCTGGGCGCTTGTTTCAGTCCATATAGAGCTTTGTATAATTTGTACACCATCCCTTCCTGATTCTTTTTCACAAATCCAGGAGGTTGTGACACGTAAACTTCTTCTTTTAATGGACCGTTCAGAAATGCATATTTTACATCTAAATGCATCAGAGGTCAATTCCTGTTAACAGCTATTGCAATCACCATTCTGATTGTTTCATGTCTTGCTATAGGTGCAAACACTTCAGAATAATCCAGCCCAGGTTTCTGTAGAAATCCTTTAGCTACCAACCTTGCTTTATGTTTGCCAATTGAACCATCTGGCTTTAACTTCTGCTTGAAAACCCATCTGACGCTGATGGCTTTCTTGTCTTTTGGAAGTTCTGTCAGCTTCCAAGTCTTGTTTCTCTCTATAGCATTAAGTTCTTCTTTCATGGCCTTCAACCAGAGCTTCTGCTTAAGAGTCTCTTCTGTACTTATGGGTTCAGAGTCTACTATCATGGCACACTGAATAACTTCTCCTTCAGAGTCTACTTCAGTGTCTTGCAGCATGTCAAATTTTGCATATCTTCTGGGGACGTTTCTTATTCTTTGTGGTCTCTAAACTTGTTCAGAGTCTTGAGCTTCAGAGTTTCTAGCTTCGGATGATTGACTTCCTCCAGAGCTTTGACCATCTTCAGGGTCTAGCATATTTCCAAAGTCTGAATTGCCACCAAAATCTGGATTGCCATCAGAGTATGGATCATCAGAGTCTGAATCATCAGAGTCACCTTCATCTTCTGAGTCTTCTCCAGAGTCTGAATCACTATCAGAGTCAGAGTCAATGTCAGAGTTTACTCCAACTTCAGAAATTCTTAATTCTGACTTTTCTTTAGAAGTTCTAACATCAGAATCAGATTGAGACTTAACCCAAATCCAAACTTTTGATTCCTTCACAATCACATCTCTATTGAATTCAATTTTATTGGTTTCTGGACAATAGAGCTTGTATGCACCTGTAATGTGGTACCCTATCAGAATCATCACTTTGCTTCTATCATCCAACTTCTGTCTTCTGGCTTCTGGAACATGTCTATAGCAAACAGAACCAAACACCTTCAGATGACTAACACTTTGCTTATCTCCAGCCCACTTTTATATTGGAACTATTTCCTTCAACTTCTTCGTAGGACATCTGTTGAGTACATACATTGCAGTGGCAACAACTTCTCCCTAGAGATTCTGAGGAAGCTTCATCTCTTTTAGCATGCTTCTCACCATATCAAGCAAAGTGCGGTTTCTTCTTTCAGCAAGACCATTGTGTTGAGGGGTATAAGGAGCAGTAACTTCATGCTTAATTCCATTCTCCTCACAGAACTTCTAGAACTCTTTGGAGTTATACTCACCTCCACCGTCAGTTCTAAGAATCTTCAACTTCTGACCACTCTGATTCCTAGCCTTCATTCTGAACTTCTTGAATTCATCAAACACCTCATGTTTAAACTTAATAAGGGATACCCATGTCATTCTTGTGAATTCATTAACAAACAACACAAAATATTTATTCCCTCCAATTGATGCTACTGGAAATGGACCACACACATCAGAATGTACAACTCCCAAGGCATGTTTTGCTCTTGGAGCAGCTTCTGACGCAAATGATAGTCGTGGTTGTTTTCCTTCCATGCAAACTTTGCATGACTTTTCAGGCTTCTTAATTGCAGGAATTCCATGTACCAACTTCTTTGAATTCAGATGTTTTAAGCTTCTGAAATTCAAATGACCAAATCTTCTGTGTCACAGCTCACTCTCCTTCTCAGCACTTGTTGCACTAAGACATTCTGAGTCTGCAGTTTTGACATTCACCTTTAATGTTCTATTCCTTCCCTGTTCTGACTCCATAATCAACTTCTGATTGCAGTCATACAGTTTCAGAAGATTGTCCTTCATGGTAACTGAAAAACATTTCTCAATTAATTGTCCCACACTCATCAGATTGCTTCTGATGCCAGGTACATACCACACGTTCTAAATCAATGTTGTTTTCCCATTGTTCAGAATCACTCTGACATTTCCCATACCTTCTGCATTAAGATATTTGTCATCAGCACATCTGATATTTGTTCTCTT